AAAAAAAAAAAAAAAAGAAAAAAAAAGAAAGAAGCAAGATGTTTTGGTTTAAAACAAAAAATAAAAAGTTCAGTCCTTTGAACGCCATAGTAGGCCCACAACATTAACGGATGCCCACAACAAGGATTGAACGCCATGCTGGCGTTTAAAAGCCCAAAAAATTAAGGCATTGCAGGTGCCCTAAGTGAACCAAAAGTCAATTTACTAATGAAAAATGAACAACAAATAAAATATTTTTAATTAGAATAAAATTGAGAAAATTCTATTCAAAATTCATTATATATAATACCCTTAAATTATAATTCAACTCGACTTACGAACTGTGTCATCCATTGTCACATCCATGTAGTCTGGAACACTGGGTATCGACCAAGTCACATGATACTGCTTGGCTTCAGCAATCGTGGCCACGGCCACCACTATCACCACCAAAGCCGCGGCCAAGGCGCCACCTCTTTCTCCACCCATTCTTTTGAATGAAAAAGAAAAAAAAAAAAACAAAAACAAAAAAACACAAATTCTTAGTTTAATTAAGACAAGTATATATATATATGCCAAGGATGAAGGAACAAACAAATATGTTTTTCTGCGTGTGGAAATGCAAATGGGGGCGCATCAATTTATAATAGCCTTGAGAGTGTGGTGGGTCCCAACCTAATATCATTTTTTCTGATTAATTAATGAATTGAATTGAATTCCCTAGCTCCATGCATGATAATAATTTAGAATTAGCCGCGTGTCATGTGCTGGCAATATCATTAATTTGTTTTACCAACCCCTTAATAATTATTTTATTTTATTCGTCAATGGTTACTGATTTTCGTTACCTGATAGAATCATTTTTTTGTCAAAAGCAGTTACTATTCAAATCCTTGGCGCGACATAATTCGTGAAGGGTTAAAATCTTTTTCACCCCATTATAAATCTATTCTTTCTTTTACACACCGTCCCATCAAATAATTTTTTTTATACCCCAAAACTCACGAAATGCTATGCGATATTACAGTCGCATGTCCAAATGAACCAGCGCATATCCAAGCGGACGCATAATTTATGACTATGCGAAAACATTTTGCATTTTTGTAATCGCATATCCACATCAAACGCATAATTTATAAATATGCGAATATCTTTCGCAGTTTTAAGAATCGCATATCAAAATCGAATGCAGCATAATTTACGATGATTATGCGCCTTATTTCGCAGGGCTATATCGACCTTGCAAATTTATGACTGTGCAAAAACGTTTCGCATATCATTCGCATTATTTGTTGAATTCGCATTTTCTGGAAATTGCATATTCAAGTCAATCGCATAATTTACTGGTATGCGAAAAACTTTCGCATATATCTGCCGGATAATTGACAATGATGCGACATTTTTTCCCTCGCATATTGAAGAATCGCATAACAAAATCGAATAAAGCATAATTTAATTGACGATAACGCGCCATTTTTTCGCAGGGTCATATCGTCATGGAAATTTTACGACTATTCAGAATTTGATCGCATATCTGTCGCATAAGTTACGCACCTCATTAGTTGACTGCTTTTTCACAGGTGAGGATTTTGTCTGTGCATTTATCATGCAGGCAAAAAAAACAGTGATCTCTAACAATTCAACGTCTGCACCATTCTTCTCTACTGCAATTTTCTGTTTCTTTCGTTTTAATTCTTTTTGTTGTTCACTTATTTGAATGGCTAGCAACCGTGTTAGAGTATGCGTGAGCTATGGTGGTACGTTTTCCGGGGGTTCATATCTTGGTGGAGTGGCAGAGCTGATGAGAATAAATTACGGCCGACAAATGTATTCTGAAGTAGTTTCTCGTGTTCAAGCATTATTGAAGGCCGATCCTTGTAATTTTGAGTACTTATTGTGGGCAGTATTTGATGGAAGGGAACGAAAAGTGAAGATGAAAATTGAATCCAGTGAGGATATCTTAGAGCTGACTGAAGAACAAAAAACTCCCAACATTTACGTGGAGTTGGAGAAGCGAGTAAATGTAGGTGTTCCGGGGACGGTGCAACAAAGCTTCACGCAAATGATGACGTCCCAAGGTGTATTTCCGAGTTCTTTTGGTGTTGGTAGTTCTGCATTTTCCCACGAGGCCCCATATTCACATCAAGCAGGCCCTAGTTCAGTTACACATACTGGATATCCTCGGGGCGCTGATGATCAAACCGCAGGTTGTTCGAACCAACCAGGTCATTCTCGTGACGATGACAATAATGATGACCAAGCCAACACGCACAATGGTGACTCAGGCGACGAAGACAAAGAGGTACATGAGAAGCAAATGTTCAAGCTTTTCAGGGCGTGGTATAGCGAGCATATTGAAGAGCTAAGATTAATCACCGACCATATTGAGGTTGAAAGTCTTGCATATATGAATCGAGGTAGCACCCGGCAATCCGACGTTGAGCCACGAATGTGGACCCTTCCTATGCCGCCCACGACAACTAGATCAGATAGACAAACCATCCACTTACCCTCGAACAATATAGAATTATCTTTGGGGTCTGTCTTTCTTTCGAAAGAAGAGTTGATTTGTGCCATTCAACTGTATCACTTGCAACAAAAAGTTGAGTGTCGAACACCCAAATCGTGCACTTCTAGGTTAAAATCTGTTTGTCGGTATGAAGGGTGTTCTTACAAGTTATGTGCAAGGGCAAACCGAGATGTAAGAGAATCACTACTTTGAAACTCGAGCATACATGCGAAGGGAGTTTGACGCACAATCGACACCGTTCAGCTAATTCCAACGTTCTCGCTCATATTTACGCATCAACTATTCAGACAAATCCCCAGACGGTATCTACACGGAGAATTATTGAACAAATGCGGGAGGATCATGGTTTGTCGATCAGCTACAATGTGTCCCTCCGAGCAAGACACCGTGCTTTTGAAAAAGTTTATGGAGGTCATGAAGAATCATGGGGGCGGCTTCCCGGTTACTTGCACATGTTGCAGGTTCGTAATCCAGTTACAATTGTCGAACTGCAACGAGATGGCGAGGTATTCCAACACTTGTTCTTTGCTCTAGGAGCTAGCATTGAGGGCTTTCAACGAGCCGGTGTCCCGGTATATGTGATAGATGGTACCCACTTGAAAGGAAAATACAAGGGCATTATGTTTGTTGCAGCCACATTGGACGGGAATCACCAAATCTTTCCCCTCGCAGTTGGCATTGGTGATGTAGAGCGTCGTGAGACTTGGAGTTGGTTTTTGACTCAATTGAAAAGGGCCTATGGCTGTCCTGATAACCTCCTCATCGTATCGGATAGACATGAGTCTATCATATATTCTGTCCCAATAGTGTTCCCCGAGGCGCATCATTCATTTTGCTATTATCACATCACAAAACAAATGAGGTCTTTTGGGAAATCTGTCTTGGGCATATTTTACAAGGCGGCATATTGTTATTGGCGTTAAAACTTCTATCGTTACTTGTCATACATCCAAAGTCTAAAACCCGAAGCATTTAAAAAGCTAACTAATGAAATTTCGGTAAATGCTTGGGCGAGGTGTTTTACACCTGTACGGGGCTATGGATTCATGACATCTAATTCATTCGAAAGACAAACTCCATTGGGCCAGGATGTTACCCGTTTGCTCGTTGTTGGAGTGTGTTCGAGCAACGATGGAGAAATGGTTTGTTGTTCGGCGTGCATCCGCCGAGGGTCGCAATCATCCGCTAACGCAGTGGACTCAATTGCGGTTGGATCCTTTGTTCGAGAAAGGTCGTACTCTATCCATTACCACACTCGGCATGCAACATTACAGGGTTATGGAAGAAACACGATCCTACGTAGTAGATTTAGAGGCAAGAACATGTGATTGTCGTGTGTTTGAAACAGATCTATTACCTTACTTACATGCATCTACGGCTATTCGGTAATGTTTACCAAACAACATTATCACTTTTTTCTTTTTTTTTTTTTAAAAAAAATTACTATAAATATGATGTGCATTTACGATATGTAACAGGGAAACCGGGTTAGATATAATGGATTTCGTTAATAAACATTACAAAACCTACTCAGTTGCAAGGATGTACGAAAGCACCGTTAGCCCCGTCCCGCATCGAGATGAATGGCACTTGCCCCCGAAAATTATGCGTAAAAAGGTAATTTTGCCAAATGATCCCAAACAAGCAGATCGGCCACAGACTCAACGTTATTCCGCTGGAGAAGGATCATCACGTCGAGTACAGCGTCAGCAGATGTGCTCACGGTGTGGGGTCACCGGGCATAACAGGGCGAAGTGCCCTCTATACGATGGTGATAATGACTTTTTTTCAAATGAAGAAGGTCAAAACGCACC